AGTATATTTTGGAATGAAGAGAAATAAAAACTTAAGAGATCAGAATGTGTATGATGTCACTAAATCACTGAAGCACTACGTAGGGGAAAATTATAGCCCTGTACACCTTTATTAGAAAATAGCAAAGGTTTCAAAGCAATGACAACAAATTTCCAACCAGAAACAGACAAAAAAGGCACACTAAATTCCAAGTATGAAAAAGAAAACCAAGTTATCAGAGCAGAAATCAAGGAGATAGAAAACTTGGAGATAAACACCTTGGAAAATTGATAAAAGGAAAAGCTAGCTCTTTGAGAAGTGATAAACCACTAAAACCACACAGAAGTATGTTTCACTTTGAGAAGTGATAAACCACAAAATAGATAAACCACTAGCCATACTAAGAAAAAGAAGTTATATCATTACTGATTTTACCAATATTAAGAGGATAAAAAGGAGATATTGTTAACAATTTTATGCCAATAAATTTCACAACTTAAGTGAAATGGAAAAATTCCCTGCAAGACATACTACCAAAGTTTATTCATGAAGAAATAAATAACCTGAACGGCCCTAAATGCATTAAAGAAATTTAAATAGACAGTTACAAACTTGTCCAAAAAAGAAAATTTCAGGCCTACATCGCTTCACTGGTAAAATCAACTAACAGTAAGGAAGAAATACCAATTCTACACAAACTCTTTCATAAAATTGAAATGGATGGTATATTACCCAATGTCTTCTAAAAGGCCAGAGACTTTATGAACATACATGTAAAGTGTTCTATACAAAGTTATAGCATGTTGAATGCAACTATATTTCAAAGCAGGTAATGTATCATGACCAAGTTTTGTTTGCAAGATTGGTTTAACTTCAAAAAACTATTTTTTCACCTTAGCACACTAATAAAGATCTCAATAGACATAGGAAAAACATTTGATAAAAATCCAAACATTCTTTCCTTATGAAAACCCTCAGAAGGAATTCAACTGAATTCTGTCACCCTGGTAAAGGCTGTCTGAAAAACCTACAGCTAACATCATACTTAATAATAAAACAAAAATGCTTTCCCCACTAGAACAAGGAAAGAATATGTACCTTCGCCACTTCTATATAGCATTCTCTGTAAATTCTACCCAGTGCAATAGAGACAGAAAAAAAAAAAAAAAAAGCAGTAATAGGCATCAAGATTGGAAAGAACTAAAGCTGTATTTATTCATGCATGACATTGAACATATATTATTCTATGGAATCTAGAGAGAAGCCAGTAGAATAAATGAGTTTAGCAGAGTTGCAAGATAAAAGATCAATATACAAGAGTCAACTGTGTGTATACACACGCAAACTCACCTACACACACTAGCCACAATCAATTAAAAATTAAACATAATACCATCTACAATAGCATCAAAAATATGAAATACTTAACATATTTATATAAAATATTTCACATAAAGCTGATAAAAGATGGGAGAAAACCTATATATTGCAAACTGTAAGTTATTTTAATGTTTTTAATGTTTAATTTTGAAAGAGAGAAAACGATTGGGGGAGGGGCAGAGAGAGACACACAGAATCTGAAGCAGGCTCCAAGCTCCAAGTTGTCAGCACAGAGCTGGGGCTGTGTGCTGGGGCTCGAACCTGGGGCTCGAACTCATGAACTATGAGATCATGACCTGAGCCAAAGTGGGATGCTTAACTGACTGAGGCACCCAAGTGCCCAAAAACTGTTCATTATTGAGAGAAATTAAAGAAGACCTAAGTAGAGAAATATACCATGTTTATTCATGGAAGAACTCAATATTGTAAATACGTCAGTTTTCTCAATACCTATTCATAGATTCAGGGCAATCTTGATCAAAATCCTAGCAGGCTTTTTTGTAAAAGTTGAAAAACTTACTCTAAAATTTGTGAGGAAATTCAAAGAACCTAGAATAGCTAAAACAATTTTTTAAAAGGACAGTGTTTGGGGCGCCTGGGTGGCGCAGTCGGTTAAGCGTCCGACTTCAGCCAGGTCACGATCTCGCGGTCCGTGAGTTCGAGCCCCGCGTCAGGCTCTGGGCTGATGGCTCAGAGCCTGGAGCCTGTTTCCGACTCTGTGTCTCCCTCTCTCTCTGCCCCTCCCCCGTTCATGCTCTGTCTCTCTCTGTCCCAAAAAAAAAAATAAAATAAACATTGAAAAAAAAAATTTTTTTAAAAAAATAAAAGGACAGTGTTTGAGAGTAACACTACCTGACTTCAAAATTTTAAAGGTACAGTAATCAAAACACTGCAGTATTGGTGTCGAGAGTATCAATGAAGTATAAGAGAGGGCCCACAAATAAGACCAAATTTATGGACTACTAATTTTCAACCCAGATGGAAAAGATAGCCTTTTCAACAAATGGCTGGAAGAACTGAATATCCATATACAAAAGAAAAAACTTTAGTCCATACTTCACACCATATACAAAAATAAACTCAGATTATGTACTTCAATGTGAAACATACAGCTATAGAAGTTTCAGAAGAAAACATTGAAAAAAAAAAACTTCCTAATGTTGGGTCAGGAAAAATTTCTTAGATATGACACCAAAAATAGTCCATTATTAAGGAATAAATTATAAATTGGTCTTCATCACAATGTAAAATGTTTCCTCTTCAAAGACCTTATTAAAAGAATAAAAGACAGCCACAATCTGAGAGTATTTTTTTTAAATATGAAATTTATAGTCAAATTGGTTTCCATACAACAATCAACAAAACTAAAAGGCAACCAATGGAATGGGAAAAGATATTCGCAAATGACATATCGGACAAAGGGCTAGTATCCAAAATCTATAAAGAGCTCACCAAACTCCACACCTGAAAAACAAATAGTCCAGTGAAGAAATGGGCAGAAGACACGAAGAGACACTTCTCTAAAGAAGACATCCAGATGGCCAACAGGCACATGAGAAGATGCTCAACATCGCTCCTCATCAGGGAAATACAAATCAAAACCACCCTCAGATAATCACCTCACGCCAGTCAGAGTGGCTAAAATGAACAAGTCAGGAGACTGTAGATGCTGGAGAGGATGTGGAGAAACGGGAACCCTCTTGCACTGTTGGTGGGAATGCAGACTGGTGCAGTCACTGTGGAAAACAGTGTGGAGGTTCATCAAAAAATTAAAAATAGATCTACCCTGTGAACCAACAATAGCACTGCTAGGAATTTACCTGAGAGTATTTTCAAGTCCTACATCTGATTAAGAACTCGTGTCCAGAATAAAGAACTCTCAGAACTAATAAAACAGGTTTGTTTGTTTTTTTTAAATGTAAAACAACCCAATTATTAAGTGAGCAAAAGATTTAAATAAACACTTGACCAAAGAAGATATCCAGATGGCAAATAAGTACATGTAAAGAAGATAAATATCACTACCTATTAAGAAAATGCAAGTTAAAACCACAATATACCACTACACACCTCTGTTACAATGATTTTAAAGTGTAAAAGGCTAGCTATCCCAGGTGTTGGTGAGTATTTGGAGGAACTGGAATTCCCATACACTCCTGGTGGGAATGAAAAACTGTTTAACTACTTTTGAAAACAGTTTTGGAGTTTCTTTAAAAGTTAAACATACACCTACTAGTATATGATCCAGCCACGCCTTTCCTGGATACTTACTCCAGAGAAATGAAAGCATGTCCATTGAAAGTCAAACAGGAATATTCGTAGCAGCTTAAGTTAGAATAGCCAAAAGTTAGAAATAGCCCAGATGTACATAAACAGTATGTGAACAAACTGTGATATATTCTTAATGCGGTAGCATACCTTACAGCAATTAAAAAGGAACTGTCAATACATGTAAAACAGTGGATGAATCTCAAGAAAATCGTACTAGGTGAAAGAAGCGAGACAAATCAACAATACATTATTGTGTCTTATTCCATTTATATAAAATTCTATGAAATACAAACTATAGTGATAGAAATCACATGAATGATTGCCTAGTGGTGAAGAAGAACAGGAAGGGTACAAGGCAGGGATTATAAAGGCTCATGAGGAAGCTTTCAGGAGGTGTTAGGTCTATTCATTAACTTAATTGTGGAATGGTTTCATGAATGTTTAAATGTCAAAAACTTATCAAGGAGTACCTTTTAAATACGCTTGTGCATCAGTTAATACTTGTTTGTACATCAGTTATGCTTCAGTAAATAGCAAATCGAAGAAAAACATACATCTTTTTCTGTGTAATAGAACTTTACATCTCACTTTGCCTAATCTGTAGTGCACATACATGACCGGCTTGTCCAGCTACTAGCAAGAATAAGACACTAAACTATTCTATGAAAAGGGCAACTAATTTTTATCTAATTTTAAATTTTTATTCTGGGTCATTTTCATGGAGTTGTAGTATTCAGCAAATTATGTAGTGCTGTTTATTCCCTTAGTTGTGGTGTTTCCCATGGTCATTGAAGTTAATTTTAATGTGTTGTTTTAAACCAGGTATTAACTTTTTGATAGAATAAATGTAATAATTAAAATTACTTTTAAGATAGCTAATGGTTTCGATGACATTTTTCATTATTTCAAAAGTTTTGGTGTTCTTCTTTTACCAACTTATAATGCCCCTTTCTTTTATTATCCTCTTTGATGTCCTTGATTCATCTTTATTTCATGGTATTTCTTGTTTAAAGTATTTACATTGACCTGTTTTTGATAACTGTAAATGTTGAAGTGAATGTAAATATGATTAAGTTTAGATAAATCATTCCTGTAAACTCTTACGCAAATTAAATTTCAAATTGTTCAACAGAAATATTTAGTTTTTTAATGATGAATACAAGTTCTCCAGGCTTGATTACTCTTCAAGATTATTGTGAGTAAAAGTTTAGGTTCAGTGTCTGTACAAGTGGAATAATTTAGAAGGGAAAGGTTCAAAAGTAAAGGTTGGATTATGTAGAAATGCTGTGAAATAGTTCGTTGTAAAATCTGTGTAATAGGATGGAAGTAATTTTCAAATTCTTAATGAGTCCTTTTTTCCCTTTCTGCAGAGTGTATATAAATGTGACTTCCTGAACTTGCAGCTTCAGCAGCCACTCCAGCTTGCACAGGATGCTATAGATGCCTTTTTAAAGCAGCTGAAAAACCCTATTGATTCTCTTCCTGGAGAACTTTTCCATGTGGTTGTTTTCTCTCTCCTTCTTTCTTATTTTCCATCACCTTACCAACGATGGATTTGCTGCAAGAAAGCCCATGAACTGTTAGTGTTAAATGGTTTATTGCTTATCATCACACCTGATTCCTCCCATCAGAACCGTCATGCTATGATGATGAAAAGCTGGAAGATTGCTATAGAGTCCCTGGGCTTTAAACGTTTCAAGTATTCAAAGTTTTCACATATGCATTTGATGGCATTTAGAAAAATCTCCCTAAAGACCACAAGTGACTTGGTTAGTAGGAACTACCCAGGAATGTTATATATTCCTCAAGATTTCAACAGTATAGAAGAGGAGGAATATTCTAACCCTTCCTGCTACGTTCGATCAGATATAGAAGATGAACAACTAGCATATGGTTTCACAGAGCTCCCTGATGCTCCATATGACTCAGATTCTGGAGAAAGTCAAGCCAGCTCTATTCCTTTCTATGAGCTAGAAGATCCCATATTACTTTTAAGTTAATATCAAAGTAAAAGGCCCTTTCAGTCCAGACTCCTAAACTAATTGCTTACACTAATCAGAAATACTAACACGAACTCAGTACTTAAAACCTGGTTTGCATAGAAAAAATGCAAAGGTTTACAGAGTTTGCTATTTTTTTCTACTTCTGGATTTTAAAATTTATTCTTATATAGAAAGCTTAAAGTTTCATGCAGAGTGACTCCTGTCATAGCAGAAACCACTGTTACTTTAGCATTTAGCACTAAGATATCATAGAAAGGTACCTTTTTTTCTTTAGTGCTATTGTGAAAAATGAAGCGTAACTTGCTATGTATTTTCCCTTTTTTAATCTTTTCAGTGTTGACTTTAAACCATTGCAATGAGAAAAGATATGTAGAAAGCTGTAGCTTGCACTTTGATGACTCACAAGTTAAATGTGACACAGATAGATTGGCTTAGTTGTTTTGTGATGCACTTACTCTCTTTTCTAGCTAAATTGTTATCTGTTACAGAAAGCCATTTTCTGTTCAGTTTTGTCTGATGACCTGCATTTCTTCAACTTTATAGAATTCATCTTTTTTTTCTCTCTCTCTTTTGCTCATTTGGCAGCAGACACTTGGGGAAAGATTTCTAATCTTTCTAGTCCCCCAAGTATTTCTAATCCCCCAAGTATTCTAAATCCATTAGTACAAGACAATAAACACCATTGCCAAAGTAGAATGTTCATATCTTTCATATTGATTTAGGCCTTGGTGTTAAGTGTATCTAACTGTGAGAATTCACTCTTTTTTAAATTTAGGTTTCATTTCCAGAATTTTCTATTTAAGCAAGGGACAATACTCAATCCTGACCTGAAACACCTTGGTGAAAGTGTTTGCACTTGTCAGAGTTTATGTTCTGTCTAGACCAGCCATGTTAGGGTCCTCACCTTTCCATTAAGGAGGTGTGCTGCACTACTAGTCTGGAATTACATAGAAAAATTCTACATTAACCCTCTGCTAGTGAGCTCATAACATGGTTTTGACCTTTCGGTATTCTAATTTCTATCAGAATTCTAGCAGAAAATTTTCTTTGAATACATAAACCATTAGTTGGCTGTGGGAATTTTCCCTTTCCACAATAAGTGACTTTCTGTGTTTCTGAATCAGAAGCAAGTGATTAAGGAGAAAATTATGTCCAAACAAGACAAGATAAGTTTAAATAGCTGAGAACATTTAGTCCACATTGTCTTGTCAGCCAGCAATTGTCATGTAAACTATCATTTTTTAAGAGTGCCACTGTGTGGATTTTTTTTCAAGTGGTTGATACATTAAAATTACCTCATACTGAGGTTTTTGCACTGAAATATCACAGTTTCAGAATTCATGGTTAATGTTGTGTGTGTGTGTGTGTGTGTGTGTGTGTGTGTGTGTGTGTGTGTTTTTAAAGGAAACTTGCATTTTCAATAGTTGATCCTAAATTTCATAAACTGCACTTCTTTGGTAAAACTGACATTTTGTGCTTATTGTGAGTTGCCGTAGTTAACTTTGAATGTCAAACTTTACTTAGAAATACAAAATTTACCCTTTAAGATATAAATGATTGCGTATATATGCCCAATATTTCAAATTAAATTTCACATTCTAAATTAATGAAAGTTACAGGATTGTAATTAACCTACAAAGGTCAGTTGACTAAATGTAATATCGATTACTCAAATATGCGAGAAATAACATGAAATGTTTCATTTACTTTCAATAGCTTAAGAGTCAATAATTAGGATTGACTTTTCTTTCCAATTAAGCACTATGAGTCACATCTTGTAGCTCCCACAAAAGAAGGAAAAAAAAAAAACAGCATTAAGGTAACACAAAACTGTGTTTTGTTAGTACCTCTTTTACCATACTGCCCATTTCCTTTGGTTTGGTTAAATACTATCTTAAGGGCAAAGAAAACAATGTATCTCATTAAAGTGCTTTGAAAGTAAATGACAACATTGGTTTTGAGAGGCTGGTGTAAGTATGACCTTGGAGTCAGCCTTTGTGTTACAGCTAAAATGTTGGTGCTATAAATTCCTCTGATTGTTTACAGATGTTGATTCTGCTTATGCTCCAAAGTGTGCATGATGTATTTTAAGTAGTACTTTAAAGAAAAGTCTGTTTATAAAACCTACTCCCACTTAGTATAAATTTGTTTGGATTTATAAATATCATTTGTTACTGTAAATTCAGCTTCAAATTAGGTTGGTACAGAATTTAAACTAATACATTTTCCACCAAAGCCAATTAACGTTTAAGTGTTAAAATATAAGCAGTCCTGCAGCTTGCTGCCAGATTGTATATGTAATGAGAGGAGACGTTAACAGAGCCTTCTAATACTGTATTGGTACTCCCAAGAATGATTTCATTTGGATACAAGTTTTAAGGGGTCTCCTGTCTCACAACAGGAGTCTCCAAAAGAATTTGGAGTTTCAAAAATAAATGATCATTTGGTTAGATTCTTCAGGATCATGACTAGATCAAAAGTGGTTTATATCATAGTTGCCAAACAGTGGGAGGTGGCATACCTGAAAAATGTATGTTTGTGTTTGTTGTATTTTTTCACTTTTTGTGAACAAAGCACATTTATTAAAAATTTTAAATTTTCTAATATTCATTGTGTACTGCTTGTAACCGGAAAATTTTGTGGTCTTTGACCCATCTTACTAAATGATTTTGGAATTGGGATGCAGTTTAGAATCTGAATCACATCTGCAATTTTCCAGCTGCATTCATCTACCCAAATTTCTTAATTCCATAAATTCATTCACCAAGATCCAGAAAGTCAATTGACTACCAGATTGATAAGCAGCATGACAATACATGACAAGTATTAACAAGCATAAATTCTAGTTCATTTTATGTCTACTTTCCTTGAAAATTAATGATTATATGAGAAAGAAGTGTATTAGTTATTTTAGTGCAGCAAATGGCTTTCTCATGAGATCAAACAGTTCTTTATGGAACAAATGTTTGAAATCTACTACACAGTATGCTGAGGAAACATCAGGATTGGGGTGGTCACAGTCCCCTGTTTCTGTGGAATTTATGATCTAATGGAGAAGAAAAGCATTCTACATGGGGTTAATACCTCCATCTAGGAATGATTGCCTACTGATAGATCTTTGACCCTGCTCAAGTCCCTTAATTTGTTTACCAAAAATGGAACAAAATACAAGAAAGTTTTAAACACAACTGTATAACACATTACAAACAATGCAGATAAGAGGGCTATATTGTTCATCTCTCTAGAAAAGTGCAAGCTACAAACCAATTCTCTGATGGTAAAAGGCAGGTAAAAAAAGGGGGGGGGGGTGAATCAAGCTTTTACTTCATTTCCCCACATTTTTCTGAGCACAGTGCTACAATGGTATTCCTCTTCAAGGGCCCACACACTAACATTTGGTTCCTTTTAGGTGTTACAAATTGTTAGATGATAGCAAAGGTGGAGACAAAATTTTCTTACTAGTCCAAAACACAATGTTTTTACAAAGAATGTTCATATTATGAAAATTTGATATTTAACTTCAGAAACCTCCATGATGGTTCACAATAAAAATTTCATATCCACAATCCACTACCAATGAAAAGTTCCCCAAGATTATTAGTGGTGGCCTATGTTACACAATACTCCATAAAAAAGCTACAATAGCTAACAATTTCATTAAGGAACTCTAAATATTATAGAAGGAAGGAAATATTGGGTTTTCTAAGTCCTATTTTTCTTATTGGAGGAATTCATAACTACATAATTGAGAAGACTTTATCCTAAACTTTGATTCGAATGTTTTATCATCCTAAATTTAACAATGAGTTCAGTAGTTTTGTATGCATTTTTTCAACTAGAAATCTATTTACATCTGGCACTGTTGAGTGGTAACTTTTGGTCAACATCAGCAGTGTTCGACTTACTTTGTATTTCCGTAACACTTGTTCAATGACTAGAAAGCTATTCTGCTTTTTCCAATATAAAACACTGGTTATTAATGTCACTGATGTTTATAGTAATCAGAAACATTGACAACTATTTTGTCATAGATTTTAACTGTTTCTAAGATTGGATCCTTTGGTAGTACCAAGATCATACATATTTGTGTGTTTCCTAAATTAAAGTAAAATCCAAAGAATTTGGTCATAGATACTGGCTGCAGATTTGTTTCTTGAATTTGTTATAAATAATTAGAGGGCTATAAAACAAACTTGTTACTATTACTAGATTAGAATGCCCATGTAAACCATAAAAAATGGTACTGAGCCTTGCTCAAAAGACAATGCCAATAGTATTTCCTAAACCCAGGCCTATATGCAGCTCTTTAGGGAAAAAAGCCAGGCGAATATACTTGCATACTTTGTGTATAGGTCTGAACTACTGAAGGCAGTCACAAACAAGTAAATCCTTTAGTAGTGCCTAATATTCTATAGTTCTCTCAGCTGGTGTGGAGAAATCAGGTATCTAGAAGACTAAAATGATTTGTGGACACATTTTTTATAAAGCTATTGTAGAATCCACATTTAAGTCCTTTATATTTGTTCCCTACACCTACATCTACGAATCCTTTCTACAGCTAATGCTACACTTTAGCTACGCCTGTTGTACCCAGGAAGAAGGATACAAATGTGGCCAAGGCCAGTATTTAGTTCTTCAAACTCCTGTAACGCATGACTGGATGACAGAGTCTACAGAGACAGGTTAAATGTAAAAAAGCAAAAAGGACCAGTCTCCCAACTGCCATAGGCCTTTTCATTAGGAATCCAAGAATTAATGTGTTTGTCAAAGGCAAGGATGGATGAACCATTCCCTGGAAATAAGGTAGATGGATGATTTCTGGGAAGAGGAGAGGTAGGCAGACCAAATTCCTGGAGCCTTCCTGCAAGAAAAAAGATGCTTAAGGAAACAGACCTGAGACAAAAGAGGGGCTCTGTATGGCTTGGCTATAAAAACGGACCCTTATGTTTTCTAAACTCACTGAAGCATTAGCACAGATTAACATTCCAGAGAGATTACTGTGGAAACAATAAGGACCTGGGAGTTTCAGAGTAAGAAGAAAACATTTCGACAGGAAAGGTGATCTTTTGGAGCTTGTCTAACCACAAGTATTACCAAGACAGGGGACCCTGGTGGCCTGGAGAATGGTTCCAGCTGGAATGAGCAGCTATGGAATGGGAGTTAGGAGGTGATAAATCATCTCTTTGCTAGTGACTGGACACACAAAAACTGCTAACATCAATTTTATACTTCAAAAAGTCAAAAGATATTTTTTAATGAAATGAACAAATGTTTTTCTCCCTAAAAGTTCTCAAGCGTAAAAAAGGAACATTTTAACATCACTCGTGTAGAGATAGTATTATGAACAAATATAGGTGGATGATAATAACTTCTATAATTTCACTTCCCAAAGAACGTGAAATTTAGAAGAGAGCGAGCTCAGATCTTGTAAAAGCTCATTTTAGATTGTATACGGTATTACTTAGGAAATAGAGTTGTTTTTGAGTAATGAATTTTCACTGATCAACTGGACCTTATGGTCCCTTTTACTAACTATGAGGATTATTTGTGAAATAGCTAGTTCAAGTTAGCGATACAGTTTGTAGCAGTGATTAAAAGCCAAGTTTTTTTTTACCATTCACTCAAATACAGATTCATTAGTTGAGGCCTAATTACTGCACTATTACACTGGACTAGGTACTGTAAGGAATAGATGCCTGTTGTGCTCTTCAGGGCTGGCAGTGTAACTTAAAAAAAAAAAAAAAAAAAAAAAAAAAAAAAAAAAAAAAAAAAAAAAAAAAAAAGAAGTGCATTAGCTTTAATAGGAGGCAACAAAAAATTGCCCAATAGCATACTGCATGGCAGCATCTGGTGGTACCTATCAATGAAACCTGTTCACATGACCTTTTGGCACAATGTTCATAACCAATCTAGATGCAATTTACTCAAATATGGATATCCCTCATCATGCAAGTGCCAAATGGCAATAATGTTGCCCCTTCCCGCCACGCCAAGTCAGCTTCCAACATTGCTCTCCTTAACC